GGTCAAACTTAAAATCCCAGTACTACTGCAGCTACTGCTACTGCTACTCCTTCTGCTACTACTACTACTACTGCTGCTGCTGCTGCTGCTGCTACTACTACTTCTAGTACTAGTACTAGTACTAGTAGTAGTAGTAGTACTACTACTACTACTACTACTACTACTACTACGACGTCGCGACGACGACGACGACGGCGTTTCCGGTTACGACTACGACGAGGTCGACGACTATGGCCACTGCTGCTGGGATTGCTGGGCTGCTATTTACTGCTTAATGTTACTTCTGCTTGCTATTGCTACTATTGGTTCTTGTTGCCAGCTTTCTACTGCCAGTACAGGTACTGCTAAGACGGCAGTGATGACGCCGGCTACTGTGGTCCGGGTTCGGATGTTTCGGCATCGAGAAGCCTGAACGCAACTCTCTTTGCGCAAACCTTAACTTAAAATCCAGCAGCAAGAGACGCCTAAACCCAAGCCACTACTCTGGCCAGGCCAAGCTGGGCGAGAATCATCCAGACACCGTGCCAGCCTTACCATCGTGCAGATTGGGAGTACATGGGAGTACTTTGTCGCAACCAGAGGCACGTATCCATGTACTCCCGACTCCCGACTACCAAATGTGCCTCCGAACTGCCTGGCGCAGAATCGTCAAGCTTCGCCTGCACACAACCCGCTCGCCCCACAAGATATCCAACCCACTCCGGAAAGTGTGGATTTCTGTTTGCCGGCTGCCTGAGGAGTCCTCGGCGTAGGAGGCCAAAAGCGTGCGTCGCTTCATATACCGCCTGTTCCCAGTTGAGCGGTACGTCGCTTCATATACAGACAGTTCCCAGTTGAGAGGTGCACTGTAGCAATGCCTTCCAGTCATAGTTCGCAAAATTCACGCAGAAATCAAGATTGCAGTTGCCAGTTACTAAGATGGCCAGCATCGCAGAACTCTCCGCGATCTACAGCGCACAGGCAGCGGCCCGAAGTCAAGCAAGCCAAGCCCGGCAGAAACGACCGCTGCGGGATCTTCAACAGCCCGTGGTGTTACTCCTTCTCTCAGCACGCCCGTTCTGTCCCCAGGGCAAGCACAAGGAAGCAGAGCCCTTGCTCCACAAGACCCTGGAATACAGGGCATCCTGACAGCATCGATTGTGGAGCTTCGCAGAGGTACACACACACACACTGTCATGTCTATGCATATATTGCAACTTCCTCGGCATTGCCTGAACAAACCAGGCCACTGTGCGATTGAGGCAAGGTAGGGCTTTGCAGAACGGTTGTATGGGATGGAGAATCCAGTCGTGAGGGCTTGGGGAATTTCTGAGTTTTCGTTTCTGGTTGCACGGTGGTTGATCTGGAGTCAAGAGACCGGTTCAGTGCGTACAGCGAGTGAATTCATGTCCCGACATTCCCTGAAATACTGCAGCACGAATTACCTTGCCTCCTTGTCCTGGAGCATATTCGTCGCCCGTGAAGGGGTGGTGGCCGCTACACAAACATGCAGTGCAGCAGCATGTGGTACTAATAGCCATCACATGCTATAACCATAATGATAGGAATGACACGGATGCATGTCGGCAGATAGTTTCGAGCAGCAATGTCGTACAACTTCGTTGGCAGAAGCAACCGCGCAGAATTTTACAGTAGGCTTGCACAGGACACCCAAACACATCCACATAGTAGTAGCCGGGAAGATCAACAACTGCACAGGCAGCATTTAGTGGCAATCACGTGTCGGCCTAGGGGCCATCGTCACGTGAAGACAAGCTGTACACAGCTGGGCTCAGTGCCACTCTCAGATGTCAGCTTGCCGATGCAACTGAGGAGAAGAAGCAAGGCCACCTCCACCCTGAGACGCTGCTTTGCTGCAGCTGCGGCACAGACTAGGATTGTAGTTCAAATTTTGTTGGACTTGATGCTTTGACAGGTCTCTGGTGTAAGTGTAGTGTCGTGGTCGTAGATTGTGGCCTTTGTCAGGATCATGCCGTAGAGTTGCTGTTCTTCTGAGCAGTGTTAAGTTCTTAGATTTCCTTGGCTTGGCAATAGCGTGATGGTAGCCTGTGCTCTTGCCGCATGCAGGCTTGTGGCGTTGCAGATGTTGGCCGACAATGCATTAGCGCTGGGCAAGCTAAACGAGGCCTTTCTTCTGAGGGCTTTTGGCTCCTTGGTGTCGGAGAAACAGGGAGGGCCTTGGCCTGCGCTGCGTTTTGCCGGAATTGAAAGGCAGAGAAGTACAACCTCCGCATCATCCAGGTGCCGGGCAGGGTGGGTTGGGGGTTCGGAGGAAGGGGGCACAGCCCGGTGGAAGAGCGAGGACATCTGAAGGCTGGGGCAAAAGCTCCCGAAGTTTCCCTAGATGCATCGAGCCTCATCTACCCATGTAAAGGGGTTCTAGAATGGCTGCCATAGCCACCCATGCAGGCCAGCCCCCTTTACCCGCTTGCAACCCCTTGCATCGAAGCTGTTTTGCTTCAATGGGCAGAAGCGCGAAGGTGCGGGAAACGTCACTGGGGCCAGACCACCTGGAGACGCTGCAAGCAGCATCTCGGCTTTAGCTCGTGTGGAGATACCTGCAATCGGACGGAGAAGTCAAAAAGGTGGCTTTGCACTCTTGTGATTGTCCATCGATCCTTGCAGGACTGCGTCGGTAGCATGCTGATGCATCCTGCCCGCCTCCCTTTTTCGGCCGCTGCGGAGCTGAGGTTGCAAGCTTGGCCTACATGTACAGATTGATGGGCCAGCTGGACAAGGTGTGGGAGACTGTGCAAGAGGGGATTTGAAGGTTTCTGAAGAGCCCCCCAAACCGCAAAGCAGCTACTAATCTCCGCCACTGCCCAGGCAGAGCCTTTACAGCGCCGGGTCCTTTCCAGCCAGGAGGCTTCTTTAGGCCAAATGCACAATGCCACCTGGCCGATTCTGAATGGAAGGACCTGAAGGTTTGGGGACTTCGGATGGAGGTGCAGCGTTGGCAACTGTGCGTGAACCAGAAGCATGGCGTGGTTTTTGGAGCAGTCACCGCACCAAAAGTGCTTTCTTGAGGCGGAAGCGGCGGGTCCGAGGGGACCCATGGATCACAGGCACTAGTCACTAGTACCCACTGGTAGCCACTGGTACAAGTACCAGTGCTTTCGCTGTCACTGGCACGCTTTGATATTATCGTTCTCGTCATGAGTTTCTCCTCTTCTTCGCGTCATTACCATTACCATGGTGCTCCTACTTTTGAATAGGGGAGCCGTCGCAAGGTGACGGTGTCCAGCGTCACCCATCTTGCCCACCTCCTGAAGGAGAAGGGCAGGCTGTTGAAGGGCAATGGCTGTTCTTGTTTTGAGGTTACGAGGGTTGCCGGAGCGATTTGAATGCGGCTTCGGGGTTGATGGCTTCGGGCTAAAACGTTCTTGAGCTAGAGGGTCCAGAGCCTGACGTTTACTGGCAAGCCGGACTGGTTTGAGGGTTTGAGGCTAAGCTTGAAACCTTACACAGCTGAGGGCCAAGAGTAGCATCTCAAGAACTGAGCGGCGCAGGTATGTGGAGGCTGAGGCGCTCTACCGGCGGGCTCTCATGACTCGTGAGACGAAGTATGGCAGCCACATGGCCGAAGGGGTAGCATGTACGAGTGTAGGTCAGCATTTTTGCTTCTGTGGACGAGTGGTAATGTGTTATGACATGTGGATGCCCAGAACCAACGAGAATCAGGCCTCCACCACGATACGCTGCAAAGCGTCAGTGATTTGGCGGGGCTGCTGAGGCACCGTCTGGATTATGGCCGAAGAAGTCTACTTAGTCTCTGTGTCTGGCGTTCAGGGTTCTCCAACGGTTCACTGGAGTCGAACACCCTCTGGGATGAGCACGGTAAGGAAGAAAGCTTGCTGATTTCTCCGATGTCGCATGACTCTTGTGCCACTCGAGCAGCACAAGCGGCAGCAGGGGTAGTGGTGGTGGTGGTGGCGGTGTGCGGCAGTGGTCGGAGCAGCACCAGCAGTCGCCGCAGCAGCATTGGGAGTACTCGTGGTCTTCTCGCCGTCCTATTAGCAGCAGACAGGTGGTGGTGCTAGTAGTCCTCGTGGTCATGGTAGTGGTAGTGGTAGCGGCAGTGGTAGACGCAGCGGAAGTGGTAGAGGTAGTCGCTGTAGCAATAGTAGTAGCTGTGGAAGTAGACGAAGAAGTACGCAGTAGTAGTAGTAGTAGTAGTAGCAGCAGCAGCAGTAGTCGTCGTCGTGGTAGTAGTAGCAGTAGAAGCAGCAGC